TTTGCTCAGCATACAGGTTGAATAAGTATGGTGAAAGAATACAGCCTTGTCGCACACCTTCTTTAATTTTAAGCCATTCATTGTTCCCATGTTCTGTTCGAACAGCTGCCTCTTGGTCCAGGTATAGATTCCTCATGAGCACAATTAAGCGTTTAGGAATACTCATGCATCGCGATGTTGTTCATAGCTTGTCATGATCCTCACAATTGAAAGCTTGCATAGTCAATAAAGCACAGGTAAACATCATTCTGGTATTCTCTGCTTTCAGCCAAGACCCATCGGACATCAGCAATATCCCTCATTCCATGTTCTCTTCTGAATCCGGCTTGAACCTCTGGAAGTTCTTTGTCAGTATATAGTTTCAGCCATTTCTGTATTACCTTTAGTAAAACTTTACTCACATGGGATATCAAAGAGATTGTCTGATGATTTCCACCTTCTGTTGGGTCACCTCTCTCTGGAATGGGCACAGATAGTTGTCTTCCAAATTTCTTGCCTTCTCACTTTCTTGAAAGATTTCCATTTTTATTCCATCAATTCCTGGTGCCTTGTTCTTTGCCAACTCCTTCAATACATCTTGGACGTCTTCCTTCAGTGTCATTGGCTCTTGATCACATGCTACCTCTTGACACGGTTGAACATTAACCATTTCCTTGTGGTACAGTGGCTCTGTGTATTCCTTCCATCATCTCTTGATGCCTTCTGCATCATTCAATAATTTGCCCAGAGAATGTTGCAGTAACGAAAGTGGAGGCTTGAATTTTTTCTTCAGTTCCCCCAGCTTGAGAAATGCTGAGCATTTGGTTTTCTGACTCGAGATCTTTGCACATTTTGTTGTAATAGTTGACTGATGGTTAATGGAAGAAATAAGCAGAGATGCCGAGCAAGTTATTCTGCAAACACCTGAGTTCCACCGTGTTCCCACCTGTTTCGCATCATCAGTGTCGCCCGTGGGAATCTGCAGGTCAGACTGGGTCCTGATTGTAGCTTCTGTTTGTACTGGAATGGCTGGTGGGGCTGCTGCCTTTCCGAGGAAGAAGCTGGACCACTTGCTCAGTAGCCTCTCTCTGCTATGTCTGATTCCATTTTCCTTTTCCTCACTCTCAAAGTTAAATTCAGAGGCATACACAGAATAGTAAACATTTATGTTTTCACCACGTTGACTAACATTTGGTCCTAACTCTTCGTTGTTTCCCGCCTGTACCCAAGGGCCCCCTCTCCACAGGAGAGCACAGACTCCCTGTGGGCCTTCCTAGAGTCCCTGGAAACTCCACATTTCTGCCACATTGCTCACCTTGGGACTGGCCCCTGCCTGCCTCTGTCCACTGGGTTGGGCACAGGCTTACCAGGGGTGTGGGCTCATTGAGCATTTTAGGTGAACTGAACAAGTTTAAAGAGAGACAGAGGAGATTTGAGGGACCCCCAAGAGTGTAGTGAGGGAGGAAGCATCTTGTATCTTTGAGCTTTGTTTCCCACTCACAACAACCCTGTAAGACACAGTGGAACTGCCCTTAGCATTTCTGAGACTGTCAATATTTAGGGAAACAGATTGCCTCATCTGTCTCCCACAGAATAGCTGGTGGGTTCAAACTGTGGACCTTTAGGTCAGCAGCCAAGCACTTTAACCACTGTGCCACTAGGGATCAAGACCAGTCTCTCTGAATCTGATCCTATGGTTAGTGTGGGACATCAAGAGTTTGCAGAAAGAGCTATGTTTCAAACAAGCCAATGAAACGTTAATGCCTGCTAGCATGGAATGTGATGTTAAACTCTGGGCCGTTCCAAGGAGTGCAAGTCTTCATCCCTACCCCCTTTTTTCTTAAGTGTAACTCTGGAGACCCCAGCAGGTCACATCTGTTGCAAATAGCCATGCCCAGGCTCAGGTTTACAAATGAGCGCTGGCATCAGATGGCCTCAGTGTGCCCAGCTTCAAGATGTTAGGCCGGAGAGTGTCTCAGCCCTTTCTAATTTAAGCCTAGTTACGGTTTTTGGTTTGTTTTTTGTTTTGTTTTTTTTTAGGAAGTGCTGACTGCTGAGTGGGTAAGCTCAGTATGTGTGCCTCCCTTGTCCCCCAAGCAGATGGGTCTGGGCACCGAATCACAGGCCCCAGGCCCACCTCTCCCTGCACTTGGCGGCAACAGTGCTGAGTGCTGGCTTGGGTGCTGTGGCTGGCACTTTGCCTGTCCTCTGTAAAACAAGCTGCAGTCCTGCTTCTTATCCAAGAGCGCCGTTCACAGTACCAAGAACCACCAGCTCCCCGTCAGGCACTTTTGTTTTCTGGAGTGGAGGAAACAAAAACATCTTTGCTCCCCCGTTCTGTAATTTTCAAGTGTCTCCAACCGTAGGGATTACTGGTTATCCTGTTGTCTTGTGTTGTTAAGTGCCATCGAGTCTGTTCTGACTCAGTGACCCTGTATAGGGTTTCCAAGGAGCAGCTGGTAAGTTTGAACTGCCAACCTTGTGGTTCAAACCGACCTTGCGGCCCAGTGCTTTATCCACAGCTCCATACCAGGAGTCCTCCGATTGCTTAGGACCGACCGCTGAAGCAGACTGGGCCCCTCACAGGTTACAATGCAATTTCAGTAAGACCCACTCCCTTGCAAAATGCCTTTTTAAATCTTTCCTGAATTTCTGGAGAGCTGAGTATAGGTGTAATGTGCTACCTCTGCTGGGTGAGACAGATGCTCTGGGAGGGGGCAGGGCTAAGCATTGTGATGCTCCTTAGGGACTCATCACTTTAAGAATGGCTCCATCTACTTCTTGAAATGTCCACTTCCAGCACCCCAGTAGTGCACAGTGCACTGCAGAGTGGCCACTGCTGTTCTCCAGTCAGTGTTTGGGGAATCCAGGGCATTGGAGATGACGTCTCATTCCATTTATGTTGATCAGAAATCATCAGTCTTCATCAGTTAGCACAGACTCCAAGGCTGCACTCGATTCCACTGCATTCCAGGACTTGCTGGACTTGTGTTGGTGGCACGTCCCCACTCAAGGCCAGCTCTGTGCAATGGAAACTTGACACATACACACCCTTGTGGAATGGTACATTTTCTAGTTGTTGTTAAGTGTCAAGTCAGTTCAGACTCATAGTGACCCTGTATGGGGTTTCCAAAGAGCAGCTGGTGAGCTTGAACCACTGACCTTGCAATTCAAACCAACACTGCAGTCCAGTGCATTAACCCACGGCGCCACAGATGTTTTAAAAAGACAAGAGATTCCGGTGAAATTAACTTTAATGTATTTATTTTCTCCAATATACGTAAAGTCTTATTTCCACATGTAGTCAGCATTAGAGAAGTAATTAAAGACAGAATTTGTATCTTTTAATTGTGCTGAATCTTTAAAATCTGATGTGTTTTTTACATGTAGAATGGGCCTCAGTCTGGACTGGCCACGTTTCAGACGCCCCATCACCACTGTGACTGTAATCAGTGTCGCAGTGATATGACTAGTGAGTGGGTCCCACACTGGATAGCACAGGTCCAGCGTCACTGGGCTGCCCCCTCGGTGTTTAACTGGAGACCTATAAGAAGTGGTGGTGGTTGTTAAGTGCCATCGAGTTGATTCCTAAAAGAAGTTCTAGGGTCTAAACTCTGGGGCCCCACTGCCAAGGACTGGATTCTGGTTCTGTTAACCTCCTGTGTGGCCTTGGGCACACCACCTGGCTTCTCTGTGTCTTGGTTTCATCATCTATAAAGTGAGAGTCATAGTCTTCCTCCTGGGGTTGTGACGAGTAGACAAATGTGATTTGCTGTTTTCAGCACTAACGGGATGTAAGTGACAGTATGAAATCCAGTTGGTTCCTGCTCACAGTGACCCTGTAGGACAGAATCGACAGAGCGATTGATGAGCTTTCCCCCTGCAGCCGCGGGACTCCTTATCGCAGACAGCTTGTTGGTACAGTTGTGTGCCATCTAGTTGTTTCCAACTCATAACAACCGTGTATAAGGCTTCCAGGGAATGACTAAGCAGTTCAGTGCTTATCCTACAGTGTCACTACCAAGTGTTAATTAAAATCAGTATTAAACTCTGCTCAAACCCTATAGCTGCTCCTCAGAAACCCTATATAGTCAAAACTGACTCAACAGCACTTAGGAACAGTAACAAAGTTGCCTCGAAGTGGCCGTTGTTGTTGTTGTTGTTGTTGTGTGCCGTCGAGTCGGTTCCGACCCATAGCGACCCGGTACAGGGTTTCCGAGGGTGTAAATCCTTACGGGAGTAGAAAGCCTCATCTTTCTCCCGTAGTGACCTGTTTTAGGGAAACTGTCTAGTTTTGCTTATGTGAGATCACAGTACTAATTTCAAAATATAGTAATTTCTAGAAATTTAAAAAATATAATCACCGTAGTCCTGGTGTGGCTCTGTAGGATAAAGAACTGGACCGTAGTTTGATTTCACCCACAAGGTCAGTAGTTCCAACTCACCAGCCGTTCCTTGGAAACCCTAAATAGCATCGCTATGAATCAGAACCGACTTGACAGCGCTTAACAGCAGCAACATACAAAAGAACATTTTGAAGGAAACTTTGAGGGCACCAAGGAAATGTGCGATGTGGTAGTTTTTCTGTGAGGTATCCTCAAAGCATTCGGACTCAGCAGCCCTCCATACAGCAGGACGAAGCTCTGCCCGGCCCTGCACCTTCTTTTCCAGGTTCTTGGCAGCCTCAGCTCACTGGTGTGCCCGTCCAACCGCGTCCCTCCTGACACCTTCGTTCAGGCACCCTCCGTAATGTGGGCTTCCTTTCTGCACCCAGGACCCTGAAAGCCCCAGGTGGAGACTCCAGCAACCTCTTTGGGAGTCCAGAAGAAGCTGTTCCTTCCAGCAGGCCCAATAGGATGGCCTCCAATATCTTTGGACCAATCGAAGAGCCCCAGAACATCCCCAAGAGGACAAACCCCCCAGGTAGGTGGAGCCTATTGGGCCTTGGCTGCTCTCTTGAGAATTTCTCTTTCTACGGAGTGATCTTCAGATATTGTCCAGTAGAGGTTAGCCCTTGTTAGCCGAGTTCTTCTAGGACAACAAAATGGCCCAACCCTGGTTTTTGTTTTCTCTTTGAAGGGGGCTCACGCATCCTCGTGCTCCCCTGCAGCTAGTCATCAGAAACTGACTGCATTTAGAACTGGGGGCACAGAGCAGATAATGGGGCCTGGGGCCTGCAGGGGGCTCTCAGTTGAGGAAGGGTCTTTGTCTGAGGACCCCCGGAGAAACCAGAGATTATTGTATGTGTACTTTGGACCAGGTTATCAGTGAACCTCGTTAAAAGACGCAGTGGTCTGGCAGAGTCTACCCGGGTCTTCAGTCCTCACTCTGCCAGACTCTGGGAGTCATAGGTTAGGGTTAGGGTGGTGGGCGTCTTGGGAAAGGGTCCCAGTGAAAGCTGTGTAATTCCGAGCAGTGTGTGAACGGGGCCCACTCTGCCCCAACTCCAAGTCCAGAGCTTCCTCCACTCAGCCCAGAGGAACCAGAGCAGTGGGTCCAAACGCTGCTTTCTGTGGTTGGGGGCAGGTATGTTGTTTCCCGATTCAGCATATTGCAGAGGCGGGTGCTTCTTCCTGAGCATCCCTCCTTGGAGTCTGGAATGGCCCAGTGCCGGCCAGTCCTGCTCATCCTTTGTACCAGTGGCAGAAGGAAAACACATTACCTGGAAGGAGGAGGTAGATATCTGAAGGTCTTATGGTGACCCAGGCTCAGAGGGAGCTAGTCTGGAACTGGGACTGTGGGGTGTCATAGCCTGGAGACTAGGCCATGTGGAGGCAGGGAGCCCCGCCCTCAGGCTCTCCTGTGCATGGTCACAGAGTTGGGGACAGCCTTAGGGACCCCTGTGAAGTTGCTCATGCCCTTTTTGTCTTGGTTCTGTTTTCCATCCCATGATACACCCCTTGAAAGTTGTCTGTGAAGAATGGCTGTGGGAAGGCTGGAAGGAAACTGCTCTGCCCCATTTCTGTATTTGGTCATGCAGGTAGAGGGCATGATTAAGAAAGGAGTGGGAGGCAGAGTATGGACGAGCAGAGACACGAGAGTCTTGGGGAACGTGAGCAGGACAGGACGGTCCTGGGCTGGGAGGACCATTCAGTCTCTGTCACAGTCTGTTGGTGTGCTTGGCCGGTCGCTGTGTTTCACTCTCTCTGATCTAACAGTGACGACCCATATTTGGGGGAGTACATACTGTGTGTTGAGCTCAGGGCTCTGCATGCCTGTCTTCACTTGGTCTTGAAGACCAACTACTGCGGCCTTCACAGAGGAGGAAGCTGAGGCTCAGAGTCACTGTGTGCCTGAGGAACCAACATCCCTCCTGACCTTACTGGTTGGGATACATTTCCTGAAATAGAATTGATGGATCAGAGAGTGTATGACTTTCAAATATCGATAGACTCTTCCAGTTGTTCAAGGAGGTTGCCCACGTCTCATCTAGAATGGATGTGCTTGCTTGTCAATCCTGTAGTGTTTGTCTTTTGGATTTTAAAAATGGGTATCTTGTTGGTTTCCAATTAATAAGGAAGTTAGGCATCTTTTCCTGCTTCAGAGTTGGAGTTCTCTTTCAAGTAGTAAAATATTGAGTCCTAGAAAGGAGTCATGTGATTTCGTCTTTATGAAGTTCAAAAACAGCCATGTTGTCCAGGGATGCACCTGTTCCCTAAGTGTTCTCTCCCCGCCCACCGAGCCCTTGCTTCCCATGTCCTGTTACTCTTCTCAGCCACAGTAGCCATACTCTGGTCACCTTGATTGGCGCCCAGAAGGCCACTCAGCGTTAAGCGCTGCTCCAGATGGAGGCTTAGCTCCCTGATGCTCTGCTCTAAGAAAAGCTATCCCAGAGCATGAGGAAACAGTCCCACAGCGGAGGCTTGTCTGCAACTCCCAGCATTCTGGGGGAGCAGCGGAGCTCATACTGCAGGCAGAAGGAATGGCTTCAGATTTAACCTTGTGAAAACAGAAAATATCAAAACTCTTTAAAAAAGAACACCTTAAGGGGTTTTGCTGTACTTCCTCCCCTCCAGGACCCCATTTCTCATACACATACATAAACACTAGCCCCGTAGATCACCCCTTCCTTTTTACATTGAAATATTGGATAGTGTTTTGAACTTTTCTCCTTTCACTGAAGACCTTTCCTTATCTGTCCATTGAAGCGGTCACCAGCGTTGATTGCACACTTGTATTCCGTGACGTGTTCTAGGCATTTAACACAGGGCTGTCACTGGTCCTCATACAGCTGGATGCCATAGGACCTTGTGTCAAGTCACAGAGTTGGTCCATGGAATGCTCTGGCTTCTGACAGCCTCACGTCCGTCCGCACAGAGCTCTGTGGAGAGAAACTGTGTGGGGTTCACTGAGTGTGGACAGGATCGGCTAGTATCGTGTGCAGCCATCTCTCTCCCCCATGTAGCATTGGCCTGAGTCATCCACTTTAACGAGTTCCCTCCCAGACACACAGATTTTCACGATGGCTTGTCAGGTCACCTATGTGCTGGCAGCAAAGATGCTGAATGCCTGTAATTTGCTGATGCTTCCAGTTGTCAATGGAAGTTCCTGCCAGGTGAGGTAAGAAGGATGACTAATAAATGCTGTTTTCCAGGCTGCAGGCTTGCCTTGAGTAGGGTGTATTCTGAAATTCCCAGCTCTGTCTGAGTAACCTAAAATCTTAGCAGCTCCAAAGAACTTTGTGAGAGTTTGATGAGGAAAGTCGGAAAAGCCCAGGCTCGAATGACGGTCTGGAAGGAACATGTACCTTTTGTGCCATTGCACTTGTAGAGACCAGCCCAGGGTCAGCTCTGACCTAGAATGGAATGCTTCTGAGGGCCCCAGGGTTGAGGCTTCTTGTCTCCAGGCCACCCATTTTGGGCCTGGAGAGCAGCCCCTAAAGGAGCAGGTGTGGCCAGGTGGGCCATCTGGGTACTCACTGTTCGCTGATTATTTCTGCAGGTGGGAAAGGAAGTGGAATCTTTGATGAGTCGATGCCTGTGCAGACTCGGCAGCGTGTGAACCCACCTGGTGGGAAGACCAGTGACATTTTTGGATCCCCAGTCACTTCCACCTCACCCTTGGCACATCCAAACAAACCTAAGGTACGGCCTTCACTTGGCCAACAGGCGAGAAAGAACAAAGCCAGCCTGGTGTGCCCTGAGGAGGCCCCAGACGGGTGGGGCCTGTCACCAGGAGCAAACCAGACAACATTGATTTTCCCCAAGTGCTCTCTTTAGTCACTGAGTTTCAGATCTCCCGGGAGTCATCCCAGACAGGGATCCCAGCCTTGGGTGTGGCTTGGTGTCCTGGCACCTGGTGGGAGTGAGTGCCCCCAGGCATGTCCTCGTCTTCACTGACCCTCCTAGGGAAGCGGCTAGGGCCTTTGTAACACTCTGCACAACTGAGGGTCTGTCCCTCCGGAGCTTGTCTCTTTGCCTCATTTGTTCCGAAAGAACGGTGGTAGCTCTGGATACACACTGTCTATCATGAGGCCCAGGCACCTTGACACTGGGGCATGGTGAGTGCACCGTGAACCTGGAAGGGCACCATCTAGCACTTGCCCGCTACCTGTGAGGTGGCGCTCCTGACTTGGGGGTGACTGGGAAGCAGAGAATTGCGGAGGGCAGCGACCTTGACCATGACCTGGAGTGACACCATCAGAACTCATTGCACTTCTCTGGAACAGGCTCTGCTATTTCCAGAAAACACTTTTGAGTTAGTCCCAGGGGACGTTTTTTCACCTGGTGTCCTTGCTTATCAGTCTAGACCTCTAGCCACATTGTCCCTTCCTTAGAAGCTGGCCTTGTGTAATGGAGGAGGGATGAGGGACGGGAGACAAGCATGTGCCCAGGGAGGAGGATTTGCCATGTGGCTGAGCCTGCGTCTCCCCACCTGAATCGTTCTCTGTTGCTCTGAGGCCATGACAGCCCCCTGGGTTTACCACGGCCGGGACTCACAGTGACCTAACTTCACAGATATCAGCGGTTCTCCTGCTCTACTCATTAGCCTCCTACCCTTATGGTCAGAGATGTAAGTTTCCTAGCACCACTTTCTTGTTCATTTCTTGTTTCCTTGTGCCTGGAAGTCTGTGCTTCTGTTGGTTCACTTCGAGAAGTAAGTCAGCATGCATCAGAACTGAGATGGAAACGCACAGAGAACTGAGCAAGAGGGAGCCCAGTGGATGGGAGCCCGCAGGCAGGTCAGCTGAGGCTGCGACGTCTTCCACTTCCAGTCCTCAGCCCCACATGGAGCAGGTGTTAGCTTCCGCGTTGCTGCTGGGCTGCGATACCGAACCATTTTTAAGAGAGGCGTGTCTTGTTGGAAAACATCTTAGGGACCCTGGCTATAAGCTACACCTTCACTGGACTGGAAATGTCCTGAAGTCAGCACGTCTCCACTCCAGGAGGATGAGATCAGCCAAGCACAAGGTGCACGTGCTCCAGGGGTGGCCCAGTGAACAGAGGGTACATCGTTAGCACCACTGGATGGCACCCAAGAACACCAGGCACTTTCAGCCTCACTGGGAGAGTGAACAGGTCAAGGCTAGAGCAAGCCCGGAGCGACCTGTAGCACCGGAGAGGAGAGGCAACCAGGGTCAGAGGGTGCCACCAGAGGGTGCCACAATAAGGACGTTAAAACCCATCTCGCCTTTATCCGGTATTTACAGTTCTTAGGTTATAATGATACCAAAAAACCCCTGATTTGTCATCTTTGGGAATGCCAGGGGACTGACTAATTATTGTGGAAAGGGGAAGAATTAGGCACTCCCAACATCTCGTGCAGGAACTGTCTTCAGGGTTACTGATGACAAGGGTGTGTCCTTCCCTGAGGACATTCCAGCCCACATGAGGAGGATGAGTAGCAGCATTCAGAGTCCTGGCAAAGACGATGAAATAAGGGATCAAGACAGTGACCTCATTAAAGGAGGGACAACTGGAAATCCAGGGCCTCGTGGCAGGAGTCACAACACCGTTGAAGCCTTGTCAGAAGATTGAGCTACTTTTTTTTTTTTTTAAAGTTGAAGTAACACAAAATGCAGAGCATCATGTGACTATCAATTAAAAAATCCTGTAAATTACAAGGTTTAAGAGACATGTCAAACAAACACAGTGTGCAGATCTTGTTTGGACCTTGGTGGAAAACCAGGCGAGACAGGGAGTAAGATGGTTTGGGAAATCTGAATGCTGACTAGGTATTTACTATTTGAGGAAATGCTGATGTTTGCAGTTTTAAGAACGCGGGTTTGGTTTGGTTTTAAGAGCCACACATCTTGAAATATTTATGGATGTAATGAAATATCGAGGATTTGCTTCACAGCAGTCCTGGGTTATGGGGAGCAGGGCATCAGCTTGCAGGGAGCGACTGTGTGACATCAACACTTGGATGGCCTTGTAACTGAGCAACATGTTACATGGAGGTTAAAAGTGTTTATAATCAAGAATATTTAGAAGTTAAAAATATACCACCCACTTGAGTCAGGTTGAAAAGTCCTCCAAATCATGCACTGACCCCCTTGTTTTCTCATTGTAGGATCACATTATGTTGCGTGAAGGAGAAGACTCAAAACCAGACCTTCCAGGTGAGGCTGTTTTCTGGAGTTACAGGTGACACAGTCTTTGAGGTGACTCGGACTAGCCTGCTGTGTTGCTGTGCGTAGGGCCAGCGACAGGATTGGTTGTCTCCCTGTCGCTGGCCCTTCACTCGGTATCATTGCTAACCAGTCTAGGCCTCCACCCACACGGTCTCTTCCCTAGAAGCTGGCTTTGGTTGATGGGGGAAGGGGCAGGGCTCAGGCACAAAAAATGCACCCAAAGGCTGAGAGGAGAAGGAGGGAAAGAAGCTAGGCATGTGGCCGGGAGGTGGACTCACCAAAACGCCAGGCTGCAAGTCCACCTCTTAGCATCAACTGGGTCTCTGAGCCGACTGAGGTCTCACTCTTGGCCTTTTCCCTAAACAGATGGCCAGGCTGTATGAGAGTCCACATATTCTTTAAAAATATTTCATCACAGTGTCAGAAAATCCAGCTTTCACCTCGTCAGATCTTCCAGTCCAGAACTACTTCCTGTCTTCTTGCCCACACATGTCTGAGCATCTCCTTGTATACTTGGGGCAAGTGAAGCAGGGGTGGTGTATGACAAGCAGGACAAGGAGCAGCTTACGTGTAGGGAGAAATCGAGGCATGACTCGTTTTCCTGTCACATGTAGAAACTCAGTTGGCTTTTCCTCTCTACCTCATTACCTGTGAATTTCTCGTCAGCTGTTGTGTGACCTTTTTTTTTTTCGTTCACCCATTCTGATGCCAGGATCACAGGCAACCTCTAACCGTGGTGTGATTTGTCCCACAGCCATGCCAAGCACTCCCCAAAGAGAGGGACCGGGTGAAAAGGGCAGCACAAGAGACCAGGACCCCACCAAGGAGCCAGAGCCCACGACCAGGATTGACAACCACGAACCCCGCTTGGGGCCAAGACCGCGTTCCCACAACAAAGTTCTGAACCCTCCTGGAGGCAAGTCCAGCATCTCCTTCTACTGAGAGAGGCCAGCCCTTCCCCAGGAACCACACAGAAACTCAAGCCAAGGGGTGTCCCATACCGTAGTTCCCTTTAGCCCGGAAGAGTGAGGTGGGAGAGGATTTGTCACGTGCGGGGAGCTGGCTGAGCGGGGCCTGCTGAGGGTGGCCAGCCGGGCCCCAGGAGACGCTTCCTGGTTTATTGTCATTGCAGATATGAAAGGGGCACCAGGGTGGGGAGAGGGGGTAGGGGGGCAGGGGGGCAGTGAGGCCTAAAGCAGTGGGACCCTGCAGGCTCAGGGCCGTCGGGGAGTAACTGAAACAGAAGCTGAGGTCAAAGAAGTGACCAAATACCACCCACCCATTGCAGTGAGATCAAGGACAAAACCGAAGCAGAAACACCCGCCTGGCTGGGAGGTCCCCACATAAACCCCCTTTTACAGCCTGACACCAGTCACCCTTCAGGAAAACTGTTCCTTCTGGGAGCGTTCCGCTGCTACACCCAAATGTCGCCTTCACTTTTCTTATAACGTCCAGATTGTGTCTCCTCAGCAGCTTTCAACCAAAACCAAGACAGTGCATGGCCCTGCCAGCCAGTGTCCCTTTCCCTCCCACTGCCAGTCTGAGACGTTGGGTCCTCAGAGGTGCCCCATCTCTGCCCTCTCAAACCTCAGCCCCGTGTCATATAGGAATCTGCCTTGTCATCATGACGGACTCTTCCCATGCTGGTCTTGTTTGTGAATTGTTGCATTTTCTCCCACCAGCTTGAAGGCTGGGCCTTTGCTCTTCATTGTTGAAGCAGACAGTATCCTCCACAAACCACAGTTCTTTCTAAGTAGCAGGCCGCTGGCATCTGAAGGCCTGTTCAGCCCGTTCATGTCTGTCCAGGTACTGGAGATGTTTACATCATTCATATGTCTTACTTTATTTCTATAATCAGTCAGTAGAAAGGAGATGTTTGAGAACCTAGGGTTCTTACGTTTGAATTCTTAATTCCAAAAGCACTATTTAAACACCAGCTTCCCATCAATGGACTATTGACTCTGGTCTGTTTCTGACACCTTTTCAGAACAAAAGTCAGGTACACCAAAGGGGAAGACACGTGGCTTAGGCTGCCCTTTTCTAAAGCTTTGCAGGACTCTGGGTCTCACCCACAACCTTCCGGAAGACACTGGGATCTAACTTTGTTTAATAATGAAGTTGCAACTGGCCAAGTCCAAGTGTTTGCCAGCAAGACACTGGGCTGGCAGGAATTGTGTCACTTAATCTTCAGACAGATGTTTGTCCCAGGCTGACTGAAAGGCTATAGTCTCCAACCCCATACCTCCCTGTCATGGGACATCTGTTAACGGGGAGAAGATCCCAGTGGTGGTGGCCGTTGCTGTGAGCAGCACCCTCAAGACACCAACCATAACAACAGCTACAAGTGTGTTGTCTGTAGGAAGGCACCCACTGTACTCAGCCCCCCCTTCTGAGCCTGGCTGCCCAAGGCCTCCGAGGAGACCCCCTGCTCAGCGCCCCTTCCCACTCGGCACACGGAGGGGCCCAGGCCCCATTCACATCACTGACCAAAGATTGCTCTTTCTCTTCAGACCCAAGACCAAGACACCTGGTTTCTGTGACCCTCACAAACTGAGTGCCTCCCTCCTACATGTGGTTTGCCTTTCAAAGTCTTCAAGAAAGTTGTTTAGAATCAAGAGTTTCCCGTAAGAAAATGTCCCGAGTGGTTTAGCTTGTAATGTGAAATATGTTAATGCTAGAAAGGGACTACCCTTTATAGCTGTGTTTTTTACATGTAAAAAAAAAAAATTGGGAATGCCAGGAAGACACCTGCTGATGTAACTTGGCCCTCATGACTTCCCCCCACGTCCCTGCTTCCAGCCAATCAGAGGGAAGCTCTTCTAGTCTTCTGCCACCAGGCAGGGCGTTCTGTGGCAGTGGTGGGGACACCAGAGATGGGAGGGGTGTTGGGGGAAAAGGGAAACAAACTATAGATAAAGCTCCTTGGCGACCATGTTGGCTACAACTTCTCTGTCTCCCTTTTCTCCTCACCTGCCTCTCCACCATCTTCTCTGTGTGAGGACATGGTGTGCATGTTGAATGTCTGGCTGGTCTTCCCTTGGGGAGACTGAGTACCCTGGGGGTCCTTTGTGTCTGGAAGTTGTTCTGTGCGTTGGGGAATTACGGTATTTGAAAGATTTCAGAAACTCAGCTTCCCTTTCTCAGCCTCTAAGCTGCATTGAGAAATCACTGATCTGTATTTTTCTTAAGCCTTAAGCCTTTAAGTGCATTAGGTGCCAGCATTTTCTAGCGCTGTATCAAAACACACATCTCACTGTAATTTTGATAGGAACATTTTGTTAGTTTTACAAGGCAGATTGGGTATAAACAGGTGAATTAAACTTCGCAATCATGCATTCAAAGTCTGCCTTTTTGTGTTTGTGTACTTTTCTTAACCAAATGCCTCAACTCCCTTCCTTCCCTTGCTGTTTTTCATTGGTGACGGGAGTCAGCCCCACCCCTTTTCTCCTCATTTGTCCAGCGAATAATGCCCAATGGAATCATGTCAGAGGAGTTGTGGGTTTCAGGGTTTCCATGTGGCAATCAGGACATTGGGCTGGGCTGCTTTCCTAATGAGCAGAAATGTCGGAAGTGCCTCCAGGGTGACAAGCCAGGTAACCGAGTGTTAAGATTCCAGTCCTACAGAGAGAGGACTGTCTTCTCGTATACTCTATTTCCGTGGCCCACAAGCAAGAATGTCCTGTGTGTATTCGGGTTCTGTAGCATTGGCTGTGGGGTTGTCATCAGCCACAGGGACCACGCTTCAGAGACACCCCACACAAGTAGCCAGAAACAGCCATCGTTCGTCCTGAACTTGTGTGGGAGTGCGGCGTCCATACACACCAGTATCAAGTATGCTGATGCTGCTCACCTTGGGGCAGGAGAGGTGCAGCCCTCTGTCTCCTCAGGGCCCGGCTGCCTCAGATGAAAGCCGGCTTTCAAAGCAGTTTAACTTGCTGTATTGTCTTCGTGATGGGCTTCAGTGAGTCAGACCCACACACACAGTTCCTCTGAGGCCATTGGATCCCTGCCAACACCTCAGCATTCCTGAAGGATCCCAATAATGGAATCATCCCAGGTTGTGTGATGTGAAATTACAACACGACACCATCTACACTCCAGCCTCCACCTGGAGATTGTGATCAACGTTACAGAACGTCACTCTCTAAA